TTTTTTTTATTAAATTTGTAGTAATTTATGGCTATTTTTAACTATTTTTGCTTATTTTTATTAAAATTCTACTAATTTATAGCTGTATTTAACCATTTTGCTTATATTTTATAGAAAATCCCGCAATTTACAGCTATTCTTAACACTTTTTCAGTATTTTTATTAACATTTTAGCAATCTATAGCTATTTTTAATGATTTTTGCGTATTTTTATTGAATTTGGGGGGAGGGGAACTGAGAAACTTGAGCTTAAAACTTACACTCACGATTTTCTTCGAAAATTTACATGAGTTCCACAAAATCCGGGTGATGGGGCTTAAACACTCGGTGATGGAGCTAAGCCCCATCTGCCCCCCCCCCCCCTGGTTACGCCGCTACACTTGACGTTCAACACAAAATAAAGAAGTGAAAAATAGAAGAATGTTCATGCTTTTCTTTCGTAGAACAATTAAACAATAGTAGATGAACAAATACACACCCTCAAGAACACAATTATCTTTCCAAGATACGAATGATAATTTGTATCAAAATAGGTCGCAATGTTTCATTGTTTAGACATAGCTTTTGAAATTCATATTATTCTTGAAAATCCTCAGAATTAGAAGCAAAGTGTTATTTTATTAAACAAAGTGTATTTCGTACACTCTACTTTTTGGGATAAGTGTACCGCAGCGTATATTTCAAGAGGAGCAAGTGTTCCGTACATTTCGATTATGCTTGGTACACTTGCTATTAGAAACACTGTTCTCAATGGTGTTTCATATCTAATCAAATGTTATACTTAAATTTATTGACACAACAACAATTATTCATCAATTCACCGTCCATATTTTCTTATGTAATGAACACTATCATAGAGAAAACGAACCTTTTCAAATGTTCCAAACATGAGATAAAAGATTAATCTAAAGATGAACATAATACTAGATATCTGATTTGTAGTTTACTCAATCATCTCATCAATCAATACAAAACAGATGAGATAACTTTTGATTACAGAAAATTAATCAATCTTAGATCCTGTCAAAACTGACTAACCTTCACATATACTCTGTTTCTAAATTTGACCTTAGATGATTCATCTATTTTTTAATAAGTATAACGTTGATAATCAACATTATCGCTGAAATCATATTTAACATAGCTATAAATTACTACAACTAGAACAACAGCAACAGAAAAAGAAAGAATGAACAAAAATGTACAATCAAGCAAAATACAAATTTTACTTGAGATGATCTATAATAACAATTTGTATATTTCAGTCCATTCATCTAAATTATACTGTTTTTCATCTCACAAATGTAAGCAGAAAAAAATGTTGCAAAATTTATCCCACAATATGTCAGATCCAACACAGAAAAACATTGAATTATTATAAAGTCATAATCTTTTGTTCTACGAATTAAATGATATATGAAATTGTATTAGTGTCTCATTTAATAACTTAACTGGAAACTTCAACATATTTCAGTTCTTCATCTCTTTTTCGTTTCTCATGTTAATTAACAATTGATATCATAAATCTATATTATTCTATCTATTACATTTGTTATCATTATAACAAAAGTATCCCTCGACAGAGGTTTTACACAAATGAATGATACTTTGTTTACAACTATGAATAAAATCAATTGCTCGAATTGATTTTGATGAAGTCTCAAGTGTAAATAATATGTATTAATACCTCTTTCACACATTTGTGTTGCTGAGACTGGTAAACATACTGCTTGTGGTGAACAACATGAATTAATAACACATATTGAATTATTTGATGAACATGTTTGTGTAATATTATCACATGCTTCTAATATTGAACATAAAATACCAGGTGCACAATAACTAATATTATTTATTGTTCGAAAATCAAAGCAAGGTGTTGATGATGAAAGAAAACTGTTGCTACCATTCGAGCTTATATCACATTGTTGTAGAGAACAATTTGATGTTTGATTCCATGCTGAATGGGATGATGAGGACAATGTAAACTGAATCGAAACATTATTTTCACTACAAGAATAATTAGGTAATTGTGTAGTTTGTCCTAAAGAATTCATTTATATTGCGATAGAATTAAATGAAAAAAGATAATCTAACAAACCTTGTACAGATGAAAGAGATATAATGAAAAACCAGACATTGATAAATCGCATTATTTTTTATGTGGTCGATGAAAAAATAAAGTATAAGCAGCAATAAGTTATTT